CTTTCCCTGTCTCTAAAAGCTCATTTATAGCAGACAAAACGCCAGGAACTGTTAACTTCGAACTCTCCGAAGAGAGCCTAACGTCAGTTAACACCTTATTAAGTGAGAACATAACCATAGCTCATAACTCCGAGCTTTCCAAATTCTCCACTCGAGTAACTGCGCGCCTCAGCACAGAGCGTTGGGCCCTGCTGTTCCCACACCTGCAAGGACCGAAGCGCTTGCTTCCCCCCCCGGCCCGTGTTCTCAGCCCCAAAATCAAGCAGCATCTTCAATCCCTGGAGCTCATCACCGCAGACACTACAGACACCAAATCATGGTGGTTTTCAGCCCATAGTTTCAGGCCCAAGAGGCACAGGAAACACTAAGAAGTTTGAAAACACTGACCAAAGCAAGTTCTTATAAAACCTCCAGCACTAATACATTTATGTGGTATATCTAATAGAGTTCACACTTATGTGGTATATCTAATAGAGTTCACACTTCTGGCCTAATGGATCCACAATCCAAAAAATCCAAACTGCTGCCAATTACTTGTGCCACCAGCATCAGTGGCACCACACATCCCCATCTCAGCGGTCCCGTGGCACCTTGCCGCAGCTGAAGGTTTTTTCCAAGGATGGCCAGGACCATCAGAGCTGCTTTCTGCAAGCCCTGCAAGTTGAGTTCACCGAGATGCCCATGCAGAAACAGTACAAACAGAATTTGGGAACTCGCAGGATGAGAGCATTCAGCTTAGATGTGAAAATATTCAACATATTCCTGATCATCACCAACATCTCTTTTCCTCGAAGCAGTTCAGGTGGGGAGGAACGGAGCCTACGCCACCTTGTGCCATTGGGCACCCCTCAAGTTACCCACGGGAAAGGCACCCCACAGCACGGGGGTCAAGCCCAACGTTTTCACGTGCATCAGCCCATCACCCCACTAAGTCCAGTACCTGCTGCCCAAGGAGACTCTGCACAACACACATGGCAGTTGTGCAAAGCCAGAAGGCAGTAATTCCTCCCTGAGACTCGCAGCCGCTCATAGTCACCTGCGAGCACAAGTTTCGATTGCTCCTTCTCAGCTTTCCTGACCACCGAAACTCAAGAGCAATCAGAAAATTGATCTGAACTGTCCCAGAAGCAGCCCCAGGGCAGGAGTTGGGCCCTGGAGGGTTTCTTTGGCCCTCCTTAGGTATTTTTTTTTTCCCCTTTAACACTTCTTTAGGCACAAACACAAGGCTGTAAAAATCAATCTGCTGTAAATCACCCGCCGAGAGGGAAGATGGTAGAGGCTGGCTGTGGGAAGCCCACAAGGCCTCTCCACCCAGCGGAGCTCCTGTAAAGGCCACCAGGTCTCCCGCAGGTGGCCAGCACACCACAGACCGCACCAGCCCGGGGATGTCCTCCTCAGCTGAAACCAGATTTCTCCTGCGCCACCCACAGCCCAGGTCACCCTTCTCTCCCACCAGCCCCACAGTTATCCTTATGGAAACAGGATCAACGCAGAAAATGGGTACCTGAAACTTCGTCCGCATCCTTGCCGTGATGGTGCCAAGCTGCTGTTCTGTTACCGCTGGGCATTAGGTTCATCCTGCTGAGCCTCAAAGCTCAACCTTTCCTACAGGTGACGTTTTGTGCCGGTTGAAAACATCGCGTTGTCCTCCTTCCATGAGAACAGAAAACACTCAGCAACAGTAATACGGAAGTCAGGATTTCTTGGTGAGGTTTTCAAATCCAAAGCATCCCCAGCACGACCTGCCCCCTCTCCCACACCAGCAGAGCCTCCAGCACCCCGAGCACATCACCTGCTTTGCGTTCCCAGCACTGGAACTCAAGGACAATGGGGTCTTTAAGCAGGATGATGCTTTACACCTGCACAGCCCAGTGATGCAAAAGGCATCTACAGGGAAGCTCAGGTTTTTCTACTCTGTGCCACTCTGATGTAGAAAGGCCACTGGTGATGCACTGGGGAAGGGATGGAAGTCCCTGCAGCGGCCATGAGCACTGGTCCCACTGCTTTGGGGCTTTGCATCATGCCAGCCTCATCACCCACCCCTGAGAAAAGGCACCTTCGACAGCAATTGGTGGCATTGCCCAACACCTGAGCCAGCCCAGGGCCGCTGCACCTGGATGGAAGCAGCACAGCTAGAAAAGCAAATTGCGACGCTGCTGCTAACCTTTGTAATTTCAATTCCCCCCAAACCAGGGAAAATTACAGCAGCTACAGCAGAACTGTGAGCTACGCATGGAAAAAACTCATCACAGGCGATGCTGACCCGAGCCATGCCGACATGCCACGTGCCGGCAGCACGGCTGCCTCCCGCCACTGCACGCCGACTGCGGCTTTGGCTGCCAGAAGGGATTGGAGCTGCACAGAGCAAAAGGCACCTGAACACCTCAAACAGCGAGAACTGCCAGGGCAACACCTGGGGGGTTGTTTTAAAGAGGGCACATTGGATTTTTCTCTTTTCAATTATGAAAACATCTCATCTCACACACAAGTTCTACATTTAAACTAGATCCACGGTTTGTGCCTGGGTAGTCTGAAAAAGCCCTTTAATCTTTAAAACCCCAATAGTTGCCTGGAGAATAATACCAATATTAAGTGAATCTCCGGCTACCAGCCTTGAAGGCCACAGCTGAGCACAGGAAATAGATGAGGCAGCTCACATGTATCTATGGAAAAACAGAAGTATCACTTAGTTCCATGGTGTTATGAATATATACGTGTGTCTATGTAGATATATAATGTTAAAAGCTCTGCACCCAAGCCTATTGCTTCACTGCTGAAGGCTGCTATTTGATCGGATTCCCAACACAAACCCAGCCAGCACCGCTGGAAAACTAACACCTTCATTTTAAGGCATTTATATTTAATATGGCGCACTCAGGGCGCGAAGGCCGGTGCGGCACGTTCCCGAGCCTGATGCTCACGACATTTTACGCAGCAAGACGCGGGCCAGGCAGGGTCTCCGCACAGCAGGGCCCTCCCTGGGATCTCCCCGGGTTACTGCCTCACACTCACCCATGCAGATGCCGGAATTAAGACTATGTCCTACAGCGCTTCAGTGGCTTATTGGATTAGCGACTGCTCTTCAGCAGCTCAAATCAAAGCCGGAGCAGCATGACCTTTCGCTTGCAGGGCTGCGAAGGTGACCCCAGTGAAATGAGCTTCCCTCGCTCTGCTCCAGTGGTTCACATCACCCACGGAGAGGACATGTCACAGAGCGTGAAGCCCCTTCAATGGGGCCAAGGACTTAGCAGCATGCTTGAGCGGGAAACCATCCCACCCACTGGACCGCCCCTTCGGAATGTGAATGAGAAGCCGGCAGCAACGGCTGGCGCAGGATCCAGCCCCGCTGCACCTGGCACCGCTTTAGATGCGAGATTCAAAGGGAAAGAAAAAGCCCAGGCTGTTTTACAAAGACCGAATCCAGGTCTGCATCTCAGCCCTGCCACCAGCGCGCAAACCTGCACGCCATTTGCTCCCATCATCTTCTGCACCTCCAGCCTTGGGTCATTGCAATAAGTGGTTCTTACTGAAAAAATCAGCTCAAGGAGGGTTTCTACATTTTATACCCTCAGTAAAGACAACTTTTAGAAGGGCTGTGGTGCATATTTTGCCTTTAGCCAGTTTGCGCACAAAAAGGCAACTTCACCCCCCAAGGTAAGGAGGGATTCTAGAAACACTTCTGCCACGTAGCCTGAGCAGGCAGGGAGGGAGGGAAGGAAGGGATGCTCTGCAGTAAGTGCCATTTGATGGAAGAACCACTTCGAAACAACCCTGAACCGATACCCGGGAAGACACGACTTAAGCCTTCGCACCATGACATTCAGCCACAACCTTGCAGGAGGAACACGGTGAAGAGCAAACAACCAGGACAAAGGGCTGGGCTAAAGCCTGCAGTTAAAGCACTGGAAGCACAAAGCCATATATTTTTTATATATATATATATATATAAAAACATGCAAATTGCTTTTTGAATTTTCATGCCAGTCATCA